AGAATTGATTTTAGCATGCTGCTGACTGACACCTGCTTGCCAGTCTGGCCAGAGTTTGGGCTGGCTCATTAGGGAGTCACTGTCTTTACCCCATCTATTAGTGTTGTGTCTGGCCCTGTGCTCTGCATGTACTCTTATACACTGCTGCCTTCCAGTACAGGTGCCTGAAACGTATCTTCTCTACTCTTGGGCAACTGAAGTATGTAAATGTCAGTCTTATTTGCAATGCAATAATATTTCAAGACATTGAGGTCATTATGTATTAACCTGGCAATGACACTGTTTAATCTTCCCAAGAGGCTGGAATCAAAGAGAAACATATCGAGCCCATTCCCAGGAGTGTCCTGCATTTGTGATCTTATAATCAGAGGAATGTAGCCTGTGTTTGTACTGTGCTAGGTTAGGAAAGGGCTTTTTTCAGTTGTTTGTTTATTCAGAGGTTAATGCGTTAGCTGTAAGAAACCTGCCAGCAAGGGCACGGAACAGGAGCTCTTTCTCTGTCCATGATGGCTAACCTGACAAAAACAGTGGGGGCTCGGGTGAGCAGCCACAAGTGCAGTGCAGTGGTTTTTTTTTCTGGTTACTTGAACACCTTCCGTGGAATACACAGATTGGAAGAGCTGGTGGAAGCACCAAAATGGTGGTGACAGTCCTGCTGCAGAGGCGAAGGCCTCCTCCTCTCCCTTCCCAGGGTGCCAGTGCTGCAGCTCCTACTGTCCCTGCATTTTGCTTTTCTTTCCTCTGAAGATGTTGAGCTGTCAAACTTTTGTACCAGAGCTGGGTTACAGGGGGGCATCAAGGTCTGATTTATCTAACCTGAACTACTGCCATAGACATTTCCTCTGTTCCCTTACACATAATATACTAAATAAAAGCTTGAAAATTATTTTAGAGGCAAGGAAGGCCTTCAGCACAACTGAAAATTTGCCTGCAAATTCAAGCTAAATTAGCCATCTCCTAAAGGAGACTTTACCAGTGTTAAACAGATGTAGGGCATGATCTTTGTCAGCTCTTCTGATGCCCTTTGTTGGTTGTCTTCTGTAAGCTCATGCCTGTTTTTTAAGGCACGAATGGAAATGATTCTGATCCTCCTCACAAATACCAAGAGGATTCCTCTGGCTAATGTGATTACAGAGGAGACCAAACAGGGAGATGGACTCTAAGAGACAAAGCTCTTGGTTAAACAACATAGATGTCTCAAATATTTGCTAACACTTGCGAACACAAATATTTACGCCAGCAGCAAGAGCCAAGGCATATTCTTATTTCAAGATATATTAAATGTTTCCTTGAGTGTGCAGAATTCGGAAAAGAGCTCTTACATCACTCGCCGGCTCATTTTCCAGGCCACTGAATGCACTCACTTATTTGGCAAATCTTGCCATTAACAGTTCTTTCTCATCTGATTTTACTGACTTTCCTCCTTTCCCTAAGAATCCTGTGCAGGGAGGGAGAACGAATGCATTTTTTCCCCTCCAGCAAGCAAAACAGTGTCTCAGATACCAAAATCTCACTGCCAAACCAAATTATTTGTTGTCCTCTATATTCTTTGTGACCTGCTTACTTCTGTTGTGGGAGGGGAAGACTGCAACCGAGGTCACCAGTCTGAGGCAATACATGGACCTCATGCAAGTGCGGAGCCTAGTGAGTCTGCTGGAGCAATGCCTCGCCCATGGCATGCTCCCAAGGCCCAGTGTGTGCCAACCGAACGGCCCCATTTCCAGAGGAATGTCCAGCCTGGAATTGCGGCTGCACGATAAATGGCACCACTTTTTGGAAGTGTGCATTCACAGGTGGAGAACCCCCAGCCGTGCTGCTGCTGCTGCTGCTAGAACCCCTGCTCCCAGGCTGCTCTGTGGTCCCAGGAATGCCTCTGAAGCTAAGACATTGTAGGAAAGAGCTCTGATCTGTCTCAGACAGCTGCATTCCCCTTATAAAACAGTATATTGTGCTAACAATAAATGTGAAGCTTATTTACAGTCTCAAAACACTGGCAGACTAAAAAGGGGAAGTGGCGGGCAGTTCCCTCACAGATAATCATGGTCACCCCTTTCCACCCATGGCTGTGTCCCTCCCCTCACAGCCACTCAATTTCCCTTCATGGCTGTCCCTCACCCCTCATGGTCTCTCCTCTGCCCTCAAGGACACTTCTCTCTCCTCACAGCCTCCCCTCTCCCCTCATGGTTGCTTCCCTCCCCTCACGCCCGCTCATGTCCCCTCACAAATGCTCCTTTCCTCTCATGACCACCTCCCTGCACAGCCGCTCCCTTCCCCTCATGGCTGCTTTATCCCCCCTCTTGGCCACTCCTTTCCACTCACAGCTGCTTCTCTCCCCTCATGGCAACTCCTTTCCCCTCACTGCTGCTCCTGTTCCCTCACAGCCACTCCTGTCCCCTCACAGCCACTCCTGTCCTGTCATGGCTGCCCCTCTCCCCTCATGGCTGTTCTTTTGCCCTCACAGCCATTTCTCTTTCCTCACAGCTGATTTTCACCCCTCAAGGCCGCTCCTTCTCCTTCACTGCCACTTCTTTCTCCTCATGGCTGCTCCTCTCCCCTCCCAGCCCCTCCTTTCCCCTCATGGCCACTCCTTTCCCCTCATGGAGTCCCCTCTCCCCTCATGGCTGCTTATTTTACCTCTCGGCCATTTCTGTCCCCTCACAGCTCCTGCTTTCCCCTCACGGCTACTTCTCTCCCATCACTGTCCATTCCTTTCCCCTCACAGCTGCTTCCCCCCCCTCACAGCCACCGCTCCTTATTTCTCATGGCTGCCCCTCTCCCCTCACAGCCGCTTCTTTCCCCTCATAGCCACCGTTTTCCCCTCATGGCTTCTCCTTTCCCTTCACGGCCACTCCTCTCCCATCATTCTTTTCCCCTTACAGCCGCTTCCCTCCCCTCACAGCCACCCCTTATTCCTCACGGCTGTCCCTCTCCCATCACAGCCGTTCTTTTCTAGCCCTGGCCACCCCTTGCGCCTCACAGCCGCTCCTTTCCTCTCATGGCATCCCCTCTCCCCTCATGGGCACTTTCTTCTCCTCTCAGACATTTCTGTCCCCTCACACCTACTTCTCTCCCATCACTGTCATTCCTTTCCCCTCATGACTGCTTCCCTTCTCTCATGGCCACCCTCTCCCCTCATGGCTACTTCTTTCTCTTCATAGCCTCTCTCACTGCCACTCTTCTCCCATCATTCATTTCCCCTCACAGCTGCTTCCCTCCCCTCATGGCCACTCCTTATTCATCATGGCTGCCCCTTGCCCTCACCCCTCACAGCCGCTCCTTTCCCCTCATGGCTGCCCCTTGACCCTCACAGCCACCCTTTACCCCTCATGGCTACTCCTTTCCCTTCCTGGCTGCTCCTCTCATTGCCACTCTTCTCTCATCATGGCCACCCCTCTCCCCTCACAACCACCTCTCTCCCCTTACAGCCACTCCTCTCCCCTCACAACTGCCCCTCTTCCCTCATGGCCACCCCTTGCCCTCTCTCTCTCTCCTTCCAGTGACACTACTGGCACCCCCTTAGATCCAGGTATGGATTTCCTGCAGGTGAAGCGTGCCTCAGCAGAGGTCCCAGATGGGGAGACACAGACTGCAGCCCAAACTCCAGGGACTTCCCTGCAGCTTGGCATGATTGCCCTTTGCTCTCCAGATCAGGGCCACCCACAAGTACATCTTGGACTCTCACACCTCCCTAGAATGCTTTTCTGTCCCCGGACAATCACCTTCCAGAAGCTCTGTAAGTTTGGACTGTATTGTGCCTGTATCCCCTAGGCTAAGACTCCCCACTTTTTAACTTTCTCCTCCCCAGGCCAAGCCCAGAGACTTGGCTGGAGCCTGGCAGACCTCCCACATCCACCTGGGCAGCCCCATGGGCTATGGCAGACAAGGCCAGGAAGGGTGAAGCTCAAGGACCGCACTTCACTAGATGGTGAACACTAGCCACGTGGCACAGGCCCTGACAAGGAGTTTAATACTGGTAATTCAGAGGCACTTGAAAGAGTAAGCGCAACCAACTGCAAAGCTACCAAGTCTCTCTCCTGGTCAGAATGTCAGGCACACTTTTTTGTCCTGAGTTTTTAATGCTCTTTCATTGGCAGGCTGCTGTAAGCTAGTGCAGCAACTCCCCACAAGTCATTATTCCCTGTCAAATCCACAGGGATATCCACTTTTAGGAAGACCCTGCCCATACTCTGCCACCTCCTGCCTGGCTTCTACCTCACCCAGCCCTGCTGGGGGAGAAGTGGGGAGGCACAAGCAGCCCCAAAACCTACTTGTGGGATGACCACAACCCAACCACATCCCCCTGCACATGAACAGCAACAGGCAGCAGACCCCATGCACGGCTGCCCACCCTCACACGAAGGGCGACAGGGACGAAGGCTCAGGGCGCACGCCTGACTGTAGTTACTGCATATGAGCCAGATGACAGAGAACTGAACTCCAGCTTTCCCCTCAGCCAATAAATCTTGCTGTGGTCTGACTTTGCTAGGAATAATGCCACAGGGAAGGCCTGTGTGGTCCAGAAAACTCAAAGCAATGTATGCTTTAAAACCCCTAATTCCACTCATTAGCTCTGCCCTCTCCAGCAAAACAGCACTTTCTAGCAAGTTCTGGTAGGACACGCAGGTTATATAGAGCACACCAGCCAATCAGAGGGCTGGACGGAAGGCATGTGACAGTCCCGATGGCCATCTGCGGCAGGGCTGGTGCTGGTGCTGGTGCTGGTGCTGGTGCTGGTGCTACAATGGAAGAATGGAAGTTGTGGGGCTGCTGCCCTCCTCCTCCTCCCCCCGCACACCTCTATTCCCCTTCTTGCCCGAGGACCAGCTCAGCGCCTCCTCCTAAGGCTGTTACTCTCAGCTGGGCCGCCTCCGTCCCCGGTGCTCCATACTGCCCATTTGGGTTGTTTGCGATGCAGCTTCCCGCGAGGGCACTAAGCTGAGAGCGCTGCTCCCTGCTTGGGGACAGTGGGCTCGCAGCAGTTCTTCAGGCACCAGCTGCTCGCAGGGCACATGTATTTCTGCTGTGAGGTTTTGATCTCCCAGTGTTTCTGGAATGCCTGTGGCTCCTGTCCGGCTGCTGCCTGCACTGGGAAGGGGCTCTGAGGAGGAGCACGGGGAAGGACCCTGGCTGCCTGGCCCCAGCAGCGAGGAGAGGTCTAGCCGTTGCAGGGTCTTCCCGCAGCCAAATGAATTTGCCTTGCTGGCAGTGTGGGAGCGTGGAGAAAGAGAGTATTCAGCGAGGCTCCTTCCCCTGTGCATCATAACAAGACGTTAATTTGAGGTTTTTGCAGAAGACAGAGTTGTAGCTGTTTTATTTGGGGGTGGGTGGAGGCACTGCATCCAGGAAACACTGTCCCCCGGGAGATAAGGGAGACCTGGCCACCCACAGCCCCGGCTCGCCAGGAATCCAGCTTCCATATGTACAGAGTTGGTGCCAAAAGTGTTGTTCCCATAGTCAGCAGGCCATCCCCACCCCCCCATCTTCTCTGCCTTCTCCCTCCTCCTCTCCCTATAACCAGCTGACTTTTTTCACAACCAGGAAACAATCAAATAACCTCTTAAGCTGCTTCAGCTCCTCCTCCCCAACGCGCCATCTCTCCCAGTAAAGGATGCTGTCAGTACTCCCAAAGCCTGATGTACTGTGCAGTGCAAAGCTGTTATTCCAGCCTCCCAGTGGGGAATACGCTCTGGGCTGCAAATACCTGTGTTTCGTTAAGTAAATAATCACACAAGATAAAATATCCATCTTGACGTTAAAATGAAGGGAGGGGAGCGAGAATGCAGACCAGACAGCAGCCCTGAATTGCTGTTGTGGGTACCCTTAGGTGGTTGGCAGTTCCATATGTGCCTGCCCCTTCTCCTGCAGGTAGATGGTAATGCTTGCGCCCACAGGAGGACAATTAAATGCAGAGAGCCTGTAGAGGGGTTTGTGGGGGGAGTGTTGCATTTAGCTTTTAAAATAGCTTTCAGAAAGAGAATAGCTGGTAAATACATACAGTGCAACTCAGTTGGGAAAGGCTTGGAAACTGGCCAGCAGTGGTGTTCCAGTCTTACAGAGGAGCAAGGAAGAGAAAGGTTGACGACCGCAGGGGAGGGAGAGCTGTTACCAACCATATGGGAGATGTTCTGTGCCCCCATGGGTGCTAGTGGATGCTGGGCCCTGGAGGAAAGCTGACCCCCACTGAAGCACAGCATGGAGGGAAGCCCAGCTCCTGTGTGAAGCCTCTGCTGCTTTCCCAGGGCCACTGAACAAGTTTACGTTGGAGCCAGGCGTTGATCCCAAGTGTCCTGGCTTGCTGCCTGCGTGCTGTAGCCTGTAGTGCTGCTGCCTCCCCTGCAGTGAGCTCTCCGACATTTTATTGCTCACCTGTTTGGGAGACTTCACACATTCAGCGCTGAGGCTTATAAACCTACTGAGAAAAGAGAGGAAGGGAAAAGGTGAAGGAGGAGTTCAGCCAAGAGTGAAATACTCGGGAGGTGTTTGAGCCTTGGGCTGGGCCTTGCCAGGGTTACCCAGATCCATCCCAGATTACACGGGAGGCAGGCAAGTAATGTGCTTGTGCTGGGATCATGGGAAGGGAGGTCTCAGATATCCTGCAGGACTCTTGGGATGGCTGGGACGAGTGGTGGGGTGTAAGCAAAGGCTCATGTCAGGTACAGAAAGGCCTGATGGACAGCTTGCTGCTGCACCAAAGATTGTGAACTGGAGGTTGAATTAGGGCTGAGAGTCTCCTGGATTCATTTCTCAGTCATTTATTCAGATATAATTGCCTGTCTGCGTGTCTTAGAGCTAATGACTGGATGTGAAGATTTCCAGTTAGGGTTTGTGAGAAGGTAATTACATTGCAATCTCACTGTATGACTGTTCCTTGAATGAAGATAAACTTGTTTGAGTAGGTCTGCACATCGCAGGAATCAGTTGTATTACAGAGCCCAGGCATGGCAGGGGAGATAAGGAATGTTTTTGCTGCTGCTTTTTTATCTGCTGACCTATTAAAAGCTTTTCTGTCTGAAAGAGGTGAGGAGCAACCAGAAGGGTTAATCCCACAGCTCCTCACCACTGACAAACGTGATTTAAGTCTTCTGTTGAGACTTGATCACTGGGTTGGGGTTTAGTGGGTGCTCTTAACTTCCTTTCTAGTAGGCGCTAGTTTGCTTTGTTGAGATGCCCTGAGTTGAGCCCCAGTTCCATGGGATTGGCACACTTTACCAAGAGAGACCTGAGACGGTGTGAAGGGTAATGCATATCCAGAAAGAAATCCAGCAGTAAGACATCCTTCTGTGCTTGATCACGTACAAGACTCATGGCTGGATAGAACTCTCTTTAATGTTCAGGAGGCCCTAGCTTCTTCCAGAACTGTAGTGTAATGGGAGTCTACATGGGAAACCTACTGAGTTTCTCTGCCTCTGCACTGGGCAGACCTGGGGTATAAGCATTGATTCAGATTGCATCATTTACCAGCAGTCTTTTCCTCTAAGGACGCTTCTGGGTAGTACACATTCACCTGCCTCATGCAGTCACAGTCCCAGTGTGGCTCCTGAACATGGCCCTTGTGTGCTGGTTATCCCATGGGACAGGGGTAGGCACCTTTACTCTCTGCAGGCTTCTGCTGTTCTGTTACTTTAAAGCTCTCGCCCTTCCTCAAAGCACAAGCCGATGCACTGAGATCATCTCTCGGTCCCATCTAGCTGTTAAACCCCCTCAAATCTTTCTTGCTCAGCAGCACTTCATATAAATCCAGTAATGTGCGTATCACTTTGGTTGCCAACTGCTTTTGGGTCAGGAGGGAGGGGGGGGTGTAAGGGGTTATTACAGTCACTGTTCCATTTCCCTAGGGGATCCCAGGAAAGCGCAGGCTGCCAGCAAATGTCTGGAGGATAGAGGCATGTCAAGGACCCCCGAGAGTCAGCTGGCAAATTTGATGCACTGGGTATGGATTAGCGACCCATTAGGGCAGGGTTTGGGGCTGCATTAAACAAATCCTTCTCCTCAGCTTTTGCAAACGCTGGTGATTGTTGCCTTAAAGCAACGCAGAAGCAAGACAACTTCAGTGCAGAAACGGTGCTTAAGCATCAGGCTCGCACCATTAAATATCAGTGAGGGCTTAAGGGCACTGCACAGTGCTTCCCTAAGGGAGATAAATGATTTCCTGGGATGAACCCAACTGGCCCACTCTGTGCTGCATTTGCTTGATGTTGATACAGCCAAAAGAACGCTCTTTGGCATGAATAAAACATGCTTCTTGAGTTGCAGCAGCAACTAGCTTGTCAGGAAGGGCCCCTGACTATGACCGGGCAAAGTGTGTGAACCTGTCTTTCAAGGGATAACTCTCTGGGCAGCTTTCAGAAGCAGTGTAATCACAATTACCCTGCTGTGGCAGGGAATTTATCCTGGTGGACAAGGAAAGACACTTATCTGATTTTTCTCTTTTCTGCAGCAATCATCCACAATTTGGTAGTAAAACCCACCCTGGGGAGAAGCATTTTGCCCCTGAGGGCCGTAAGATCCCCAGTGGGGTCGTGACCTGTTTGCTGGAGGTCCTCAAAAGGTGACTGAGGAATGCATATTGAGGTATGTGATACAGGAATCACTAGCAGTATCCTTCATTCCACCAGGAAAAAATGAAAATTGGAAAGATCTGAAAGCTTCTGCTTAAAGTGCAAAGCTTCCTGGCCATGGAGTCCAGCTCTGCCACAGACTTCTAGCATTAAATTGGAGTGAGTCTCGTAACTACTCTGTAGTTACAGCTCTGCATCCTGGTGCATAGCTCACAACTCGCATGTCTCAAATACTTTGGGACTTCCATGTGGAGAGTTTTGAAATGGAAAAATTCACTGTTACCAGCTATTTGGATATAGATTGGCAGCACACTGAATCCAGTTCATGGTGCCTTGTAATACAAGGATATGTTGTGTTAAGATGGAAGAGAGAACAGGAGGAAATGGAAAACTGCTGCTCTGATGCCATTGAGTGCTCAAATATACACCTAGCATTAAGGCACTGAAATCAACCCTGCTGACAAGGCTCTACAAGTGATTAAGAAAATTCTAATGAAAAATTTGCCTCCTGGAAAACCTAATTTTATCCCAAATAAAACCTTTGCAAGAAGAAAAATAAATAATGTATCAAACAAAAAACAGTCCTAATGAAGCAGTGCCGCACAGTTGGAAATTTCCGATATGATTTGTCAAAATGAATATTAACATTCTCTTTTTTTTTGTAACTTCATCGCTTGTTTTCTGTTACAATATCGTAATGAAGTAAAGGCACTATGCAAAGGTGCTTTTTTTAAAGCAAGCTATTTGCAGTACTTGTGTAAATCAGAGGTATCACTGTGAAAACAAGTTTTCAGAAAAGTGACACAGTTCTGCAGGATGTGTTTGGGAGGGCTGGGAGAGTGGCAGCAGTAGCTATAAATCCCAGGGAAAGGGGGAAACTTTCTACTTGTGAAGACAGTGAAATTCCAGGTTATGTTTTCTAGAGGGATGATGGCTTCTCTGTCATTGTGTTTCTTGAAGGAGAGGGCAAACAAACATCTGTCAGCAGGAGGGAATGGGTAATTCTGTCCTGGGGAGGCTGCTCGGTGTCCCTTTCAGCACTGTTTTTTTTACCATCCTGTTACTCTGATGCTCCTTTTCCCAGGAGAAAGCCGTATACGCCCCAGCCAAGAACCAGGATTGTTCCTAGGCTTATCAGCCAAGATCTAGAGTCTGTTGTCTCTTCTGTGCCTTCATTTCTGGTGCCCAGCTTCCCAGATGGAGTGTTTGTGATTTGCAAGTCAGTTAAATTCTGAAAATCTTTTAATATCACTGAGCAGGCAGCTGAGGAAAGACTCGGTCAAAGTATAAACAAATTCCAAGTGCCTGAATGAGAAGAATGACACAAACTAACCCACCCCTTAAAGTGCCTGAGACCACAAACCACATCACTGCAGAAAAGGAGACACACTTTTCTGTTCGTGTTCGAAGTCATAAAAATTATTCATCAAGGTGACAAATTTATGGCTGCAGTAATTACATGATTACTTTATTATGTGCCACCAGTGTGAGAAAATATATATTAAACAGTCACTTAAGTCCAAACGAAAAAGGCCAGCAAAGAATTATTGGCAGCAATAAATATGTATGACACATACAATTATTTACTTGGTTGGAAGGTGGAATGTCAAACTGTAAAGGAGCTGTGATGTTCAGAGGCTTCAGGTGGTGGTGGCAGCAGGTGAGGCTGGGTCCTGCCTGTCACCACTGCAATCCAGGGGTGGAATGCAGATTCTGGGCACACGGATGGCAGGACCTCGCAACACCAGCCTGGTCTGACTGTGAGCTCTCTGGGGGAAATCCAGTCCCTGGGGTCTGTACTCTTACAGCATCAGGGGTCCTGGTCCAGGGCAGGAACAGGGTGGCTCTCCACGTGGGAGAGGAGTTTGCTGCAGCTTGGTGCTGGTCTCTGTCACCCCAGCCTGCCCCTCTGCCAGCAGGAGGAGAAAGCCCAGCTCTGTCATAGTTCTGGTCCTCTTCTGTCTTACCCTTCATCAGGAGAACAGACCCTCAGAGCAGCAAGGTTCCAATTCGGCTGCACAACCGACAAGCTTTGAGGGTCCTGGCAGGATGAAAGTCCAACTGAAATGTTATTTTGAGACTTGGCATGTTTGGCTTTTCCAGGATGGCACAAACTGCAGCTGTGAGAACACATCCTGCAAACATGAGCTGCCAGCTTACAGGGCTGGATGCCATCAACCTGGTCAAGGGAGGGCCAGGGGAACCAGGGAGAGGGATGGTGTGCTGGCTGGAGCGGAGAAAAGGGACTCTTGCATCGGAGCAGCCCTGCTTGTGGCAGGCTGGACCATGGGCCCCACTCACACTGGTGATGGCAGCCTGCCCCTTGGTGGCTGTGGGGGCCTCAGGGCGCTCGAGCAGCAGGCAGTTACAGTTACACATGGTGACAAGTGAATCCCCTCTTTAGTTTTTTTTCTCTTCCCATTTTGGTGTCTGTAAAAGTAAGTACTTCTCTCCTAATGCTCAATTTTACCTTCACCATGACCCTCCTAAGACATTCTGTAAAACTTTGAAAGTGCCTCTGATCTCCCGCAGCAGCCGTTTTCATTTGTGACTACTATTAGGTAGCAGATTTAAAGTAAAGTCATAAAAAAATAGTGTGAGTGTGTGATTTTTCTTATTTACTACTAAGATGTGTAATGAGGGCTCTAAGTGCTTCCTTTGTAAGATGAGGGTTTTTCAAGAACCTTATGCCTAAAGTTTGCCTATACCGAATCCCTCACTTTCATGAGGGGAAACCAGGACCTCAAACACTGATCGGGGAAGGTAAAAAGGAAGTGTAAAAATAGTAACATCAGTAGCCTCTGCAAAGGTATTAGACCTGTTCACCCTGGTATTCCTCTTTATCTTTGGGCAGATGAGGCAGTGATCAAGCCAGCACCAGCTCCTGCTCTCCACACCCACACGATGCCCACTGCACAGGCTCCAGCATTGTGGGAGAAGGTTTACACCTTCCTCCTGCCAAAAACTGCCTGCTTTCAGAGACAAAAAACCTCCTGGAAACACTGCTTGTCCGGATGGCAAAGTTGATTCCTAAACCTTGCATTAACATACATCCAAGTCTATCACTTGAGCTTAAACTAAGCTGACAGATTCTGTCTTCAATGTATGAGCAAAGGCTTTGATTTCAAAGGGGCTGCTCAGTGTGTGTCAGGATGGGTAGAGAATGGAGAAGTTCACAGTGATGTGGTGAAGATGCAGACTGTTGGGCTGCTGCTCTGTTCTTCTAGATCTTTTTATTGCCCTTTTATGGTGGTTTCACATGGTACTCTTCTTTTTTTTTCCCTCCCCTAAGGGGATTTGCTTTGGTTTTTGATTAATGGACTTTGGGCAAAGGTGGGGATGTTCTGGTAAGGTTTTGACCTAGCAGACTGCAACCAGGGCATTGTTCTGGAGCTGTTGATGCTGCCGGTCTCAGCGTCACAAATACAGAACATCCTGTCACAGACAGGCAGGGCTGGGACAAGAAAGGAACTCAGGGTAGCAAAATCCAGGGAGAAGGCTGTGGGAAGCTTTAATTACCTAGCCTGTCCCAGGAGGTCCCAAGCGCCCCAGATACTAATTGCTAAAAAATGTTCATGCTGAGTGGCTTTTATTTTTCCAGTGAGATGGAATAACAGGGAAAATATGTGAAAGTCCCTGGACTTCAAGAATGTGTTTTTCTTTCATTTGTATTTACCTAATTATGCTGTCATAGACAGCTGAAAATTATACCCTCACTCCATCCTCCCACCCCAAAAATGACCAAATAAACAGAGCAGCAACTCCAGCTACTCTAGACAACAGAGTCAGTGGTAAAGGAGAGATGGACAGGATGGTTTTGGCAACCCAGCACCTCAGAGTGAGGTCCTGAGAGCTACATCCAGCTCCAAAGCCCACGGCCAATTACCCCATGCCATAAGCAGTGCTGTGCTCCTCAGGCAGATCTGTGTACCTCTTTGAGGAAGTCATGGACAAAAGTGAGCATGGTGAAGGAAAACTGAGGGATTCATTGTGTGTTCTGGATGATAGCTTGGCTGTTTCTGCGTAGCCTCCTAACGACATGCCACATAGTGGTGATTTTACAAGATTCTTGACAGGCCAGGACTAGCACTGAAGATCCCACCTGGGAAGTCACAGCCCCCATCACCACCATGTAACAAGTTCCTGTAGCTAAAAGGACCAGTGACACAGAGCAGACAGAGCCCAGGGATGCTCTCAGGGATGCCATGCAAGCTATAGCCCATGTCTGTGTGGCATCCGCAATTTGCTCTTCCGGTTTGAGATAAGTAAGCATCTGTCTCAGTATTTGTGAAAGGAGCTGGGGGTCCCATCAGCTGCAAGTCAGGCCCTCATTTCCTCCCTCTTCTCTGGGAGCCGTTATTGCAGAGGAAAGGTTCTGCCCCTCAGCACTTGGAAACTCTCAGCACATCCAGTGTTAGACTGCACGTTTTAAATAACATTTAAGTCAGCCAAGTGTGTGGTACAGTAACCACAACTGTGTATATCACATGGGCCTATAAATATGAATGAGTGTACATATATATATAAAAAGAGAGAGAGAATAGACTTGGTGAGGAAGAACACAAACAGTGGTGGGATCACAGTTAAAATCCAGTATATTGAAATCGATTTAAACCACAAAGTGCAACAGGAGGCATTATAAATACAACAGTTAGCTATCACAGCCCATTTTGAATGGAGCTTTAGGAAGCTTTGCCTGGGTTTCTTTATGCGCGTGTGCCACACAGCTTAGGAGATGTAGATTATTTGTCTCCGAAAAGCCTCAGTATTTTTTCCACGTGCTCCCTAGCAGCGCTGGGGTGCAGTGCTGCAGAAGCAGGCCTGGCACTGTATTGGGTTACTAAAGCATTCCAGCCCCATTCTCACTCACAGGAATGGTCTGGTTCCCTGAAAAATTAAAACCACTTCATTTTATTTCTCCTCTTACGATCCCCCGTTTCTCCCTCCTCTGCCTGGCTGGGCTCTGCCATGGGGACATGTGGGTTTGCAATATAGCTGCCGATTAGCCATGCTCATTAATGACACAATATGCAAATTACACATCTCCCTCCCTAATGAATCCAGACTGATGGCAATGACGAGCCAGAATGCACAAGCGGCAAGAACCTGTCAGGTTTACTACACCGGTCCTGTCTAGAACAACGTAACACGTTAACAGTGACCTGTGGCCCTTCAGGTAACCCTGTGATGCCTGACAGCATTTGTCAGACACTTCCAGTTTTAGAGCACTCATTCCTTTCCTTTCCCCTCTCCTTTCCCCTCTCCACCAAGCCCCATGTTCCTTTTCCAGCGCTCCTCTACATGAAGGTGCTGCGCAGACTTTGCTGCAGAGTTGTTAAGTTCTTTTAGTTTCCCCGTGGATCCTATTAGCCAAAGAATTTGCTTTTTTCAGGGTTCTTTTTTGTTATTTGAAATGAATACATTTCAAAATATGTATGTATATGATTTTGAGGTGAAATTTTGGAGTGGAGGCTATGCACACACACTTCTACCTCCTTCCACCTCAAACATTCTTTTATATGAATACATGTATGAAAAATCAGTTACTGAATTAAGTTCCCTCTGTGCATGAAGGTCCCTAAGCAAGCTGCTCAGGAAGATTCAGCACAGTGGCTCTTTCCCCAGCACCAGGAGCTGGGTTTCACACCAATGCTCCTGCAGTTGCTGTTTCTTCCCAGCCTCTCGTTGGAGATGCCAGCCACTGGCCCACGCTCTGTGAAGGGATGAGGATATTGGCACT